AGTTATAACTAAGAGTTAGATCTTATAGTACGCTTAGTAGACGTAACTAAATAATTCTTCTTTAAGAAGAATAAAGATAGAAGACACTATCTTTTATAAGCTAATATAAGGTTAAGTACTTAAGATAGTAGTTTTTATATTAGAAAATAAAGAGTAAATAGCGTACTAAGAAATACTAATAGTATTAATAAGTAAAGAGGTATTACTATTATAGATTACGTAGGTATATATATATAAATACTAACCTTATTATCTTCTCTACTATAGCTTTAATAGTATAATAAATAGCTTAACTTTATAATATTAATATAAAAAAGGTAAAGAGTATAGTACTTTATAATAGAGGTAGATAGTTATATTAATAATATATGCGTATAAATAATAAGAATTAGATATAACTTTACCTATTTAGAAAGCTACTAGAATTATAGATATTAGCGTAAGAGCTAGCGTTATAGAAGTACTATAAAGTAGATAGATTAGAGAAATATTACTAGCTATAAGGTAGTCTTAATATTATAGAGATAATGTATAGAATATAGTAGTTATAAAGTTACTTACGTATACTTAAGAGATAGAGAATTTAGAGGTTAGTAGTTATATAGATAGCCTACTAATAATATAGCCTAGTACTATAAGAACGTAATCTAATAAATCTATAAGTAATATTAAAAGAGTTTGTAATAGAAATAGCTCTATTATTCTACTTTATAGATTAGATATAATTTTAATCTATATAAAAGTCTACGTCTAGAGCGCGCTCTATTACTTACTATAAATATACTACTTAAAGACTATCTTTCTCTATAACTACTTAGAAAATATAATTCTAAGTAGTGTCTACGTTTTAGTAAAGATAGTTATATAACTTCTATACACTATAGTACTATAAGAGTAATAAGTACTAACGCTACTATAAGACTTTAGCTCTAGAAGTAATAGAATATTAGGCTACTATAGTAGTAATAAAGTTTAGTAGTAGTTTAATATAGTATACTAGCTATAGAAGTAATAGAGCTAAACGTAAAGCGCGTAAAAACGTTATAGCATATATATAGTAAGAGGTATAACTTTATATAAAGTGTATAGTATAATTAAAAACTATACTATAGAATATAATAAGTAGATTATACTAGTATTAAAAATAAAGCTTACTACTTTAATTATTATAGAAGGTAAAGAACTAAAGTTAGTGTCTACTTATTTTTTTCTATAGTATAGCTACTATTAGTGCTATACTACTAATTACGTCTAATAAGATATAGTACGTAGTTAATATTAATCTTACTTAGAATAATAAACCTTTAGCGTAACGTAGAGCGCTTTTAACACTACCTAGCCTATTAGTAGATAAGTACTCTTATCTAGCTAAATAGCTCTATAAGAAGAATACTTTATCTAATCTATAGGCGTAATAATAATATAAAAACCTTATACTATAGTATTTCTCTAGTTATTACTGTAAACCTAAGTTATTCTCTTTACTAGGCGTATACCTAGTATAATTATTATACTATTCTTAATATAAAGATATTACTATATATAAATTACTTAATATTAAGTCTATAGATAAAGTACTTCTATACTTCTTTACTTAGAGTCTAGCTTAGTTAATAGAGATAATATAACTTAATTTAGTTAAGTTAATATAGATTATAGATCTAAAGTGTAGATAGACTATAATTATAAGAAGTAAGAGTAGCGTAAAGCTACGTTAGTACGTAAACTAAATAATTTATTATCTACTATAGCTATAGATAAGTAGCGTTTATTATATAAAGTTTATAGTTCTATTCTAAATAAATACTACTTTAAAACTAGTTATAACTTTAGTAAATATAACTATAGTAGAGTAGAGTTATAAAAGTACTAAAAATACTATAGATATAAGCACTACTTTAATAGATAATCTAGTCTTTATTATAGACCTTCTACTATAGACTATAATAATACTAGCCTTAACTTAGCCTATCTTCTAAATAGAGTTTATAGACTTTCTATAATACCTAAAACTATAGCTATTATTACTAGTAGTAATTAATTAATATAACTTCTACGTATACTTATATCTTAGTTTTGTTTATATAAAGTATATTATAAAAGTAGTAAGATAGAATATAGCTAATAAAGTAAAGAAGTTCTTAGATAAAGCTTTTAGAGTTTAAGTTACTAAAACGCGCTATAGTATAGTTAGAATAAGCGCTAGTCTAGTAGTACACTAATATTATTCTATACGTATATTACACTATATCTATAATTAGTTATATTAGTAATATATTTATAAAATATTTACTTAGAGTAGTATAAAACTATAAACTATATAAGATATTAGTAGAAAACGTAGTTAAGAAGTTAACTATACGTTATCTATTCTACTTAATAGCGCTAATAGCTTTAAATAGTAGTTTTTATAGTATATTCTATTTAAAAGCACTAACACTAAGCTACTAAATACACACTATTTTAGAGCGCTGCCTAGTAGATATATATAAAAGTAAGTAGCTCTTATATACTAAGATAATATATATTAACTAGTAGAATATTTATAGAGAGAAGATAGATAAACTTCTATAGTATTAGTTTATCTTTATAAGTTTATAGAATCTATTACTCTTAGTATAGAGTAAAGATAGTTATAAGTATAGTATTCTATTTCTAATTATAAGTAATCTATAGAAAGATAGTATTATTAGCTATATAGGTATTAGCGGCAAAGCGTACTCTATATAAAATATATAAACTAATATATAGAATTTAAAGTAAGTTATTATAATAGAAGTAGAAAATATATATAAGTATTTAATTAGCTTTTAACTTAATATTATAGCTTCTAGAGCTAGTATAATAAATATACTTATAGACGTAACGTATATATAGTATATATAGTATTAACTCTAAAGTTAGAGCTTATTTAGTATACTAGTGTAGCTTTTAGTATTAGATTTAAGCTACTATTTATATCTTTAATAAGTCTTTAGATCTTTAATTTTACTATAAGCTATAGAATAAGAATAGAGATAGAGAATAGAGAGTATATATACAGAAGTATAATTTTATAAGCTAAGATTTTAGTATTTTATTACTTTATAATCTATAGCTTAGTTAGTTATAAGCTATTAAGAATATATAATTATATTATAATTCTCTCTACTATAGTGTAGATAGACGTTAGTGTTTATAAAATAGTTACTTTACTACTTTAAATTTTAAAAGCTTTAACTACACTAAAGGTAGTAGCGCTAAGAATCTAAGTCTTAGTCTATCTAACGCCTGTACCTCTAAACGTAGAATTTTAATCTTTTTAGAAATATATCTTTTTGTATACTAGTAATAGACTTTACTCTTTTTAGACTAGTTTATACTATAGAATTAGTTTACTAATAAATAAGTATAATAATATAAAAGATATTTTTTAGTAATATATATAGATTTATAAAACTTATATATATAATAATAGTAGATAAATCTAGTAGTAGATACTTCTAGATCTACTAGACCTAGAACTTTCTACTAATAATAACTTTATTTAAGTATATCTTAAATAGAGTCTAATATAAAGATTTATATATAGACTATTTAATCTAAGTAGACTCTATTTAGATTTCTAACTATAGTAAAAGCTTTTAAGTAGTAAAGTTTAAAAGTCTTAGAGCTATCTACTTAGTTTTATCTCTCTATTTCTTATTAGCTTTATTATCTTTACTAAAATTTACTTAGAGCTAGTAGCTCTAAGTATATTCTCTAGAGTAGGTACCTAGAGTAGATAGGTAATTTACTACTATATAAGAACCTACGCTTTTATATACTATAATTCTACACTATTACGTATAGGCTAGCGAGCGAGAGCTAGCGGTAGTTAACGGAGTAGCTGTCGTTTAGTAGCAAGATAGCTCTAGTACCTAGCGCTTAATAGCAGAGCACTCGCGATAACCTAACCTACGAGCAGCGATAATAAAACCTTTTGAACAACTATCGCAGATGCTCTAGCTTGCTAGGCTTATCTAAGATAGCGCGCAAAGGCGCTGGGCTGATCTCGCGGTCGTCGGATACAAGCGATAGTCGAAGTGTCTCGGGGTATGTGCTGCGAGCTCCACGAAGCCTTCGGTTAGAGATACGCAAGAGTTATGAAGATAGCAGAGATGCGGGTGGTGGGACAGGTAGTGGAAGCCGTCGAGATCACAGCAGGCTGTCGCGGCGCCATGTGAGTAGATCATGCGATAGTAACGTCAGGCCCACCTCCCGGTTGACAGCTTCTCCCCAGTATCGGCTCTGCCTGTATGCACTGCGCCTCGTGTGGCCCTTCGCTGCATACAAGCTCCAACATCGTCCCGTTTTCGCCATATCGCGCCTCACCCACTCGCCCGGTTCCACGTCCTGTGTCCTGTAGCCGTTGTCGTCGTAAAGGCTCTCGATGTGCCACTCGCGTTGCGGGGTTGACCATGCGCGCGACGCACTCGTTGAACGTCTTGCGCATGTCCAAACTCTCCTCCGGGGCCTTCACATCGTGGCAGTACCGCTGCCTGCGCGCTTCTGCCGCCTGTGCGCGCGCATGGCGGTAGATGGAGGTTCGACGATAGAGGCTGTGGACCGTACGAAGCTCGATGATATCGTAGATGCGCTTTTCAGCCAGGCGTCGCAGCGGGCGACTCGTCCATTCCAGGGCGCATGGTGAATATCGATGAAGGTATGGCAGTATAGTGTTGAGGCGCAATGTTCTCGTGTGGATGTGGGAGAGTCTGTCGGGAGGCAGGGCGCTTCCAAGGTTCGCCGCGGGAAAGCCGCTAATGACGTCGCGCGCTAGCGCGTCAGCATTCACCTGGGACTGTCACGAATCTGGATGCGCGCTTCCTCATATAGTCTATACATTGCAAAACGACTGTCCGAATATACTCTGTCACCAAATGCGATACCAAATGACACTCCGAAACGCCTCAAATGCGATGCAACTCCCGCCCAAGCACTATCCATCGCCTCGCCATATGGTTCCGCCAATCAAATGTCTAGGGTTTACCGTCCGCATTCTTGTAGCAAGGGAACCAGCAGTTGAAGCTCTGCGTATTCGGTGCACTCCCATCCACGACCTTGCAGAAGCGCGTTGGTTGCCGATTCGGGTCCGATTCGGGGTCTGTCCATGGACCACGACCGTTGCCCTTCATATCCGAGTCCCAATCGAAGAAGTTGACATTTCCGCCGTTTTGTCCGGGTGCGTACTCAAACTCCAGCTTCGTACCAAAGTTGCCGGTGCGCTTTACCTGCAGATCGTTGGGAAGGCCTTGCAGGTCGCACGTGTCGCCGTTGTTGGCCAAGTTGCACTGAGCTGGCGTGAATTCCTTGTTCTCCCAGTCACTGAGCTTGATGTCCTTGATCGTCGTGTCGCCGTCGCGCGTGAACTCGACGCCGCATTGGTAAAGCTCCGCGTAGGCAGTGTCAGTCAATTTATACTTGTTGTCGTCGCCATTGCGGTTGTAGTAACTGCTGAGTTTGCCGGATGCCCACGTCTTCTCCGAGAGCTCGAATTGCATGCCGTCGGAACCGCAGACACCCCTCGGGTTTGGGTTTGGCTGACAAAACTTGAGTTTAGTCTGATCAGCACCAGTGATATCGAACTCCACGTCGAAGAAGTCGTCGCGGACCATACCGTTGCTTGTTACAATGCGACCCAGCTTACGACCGATGTCTTGATTCTCGTTAGCTACCATGCAGCGTAGACTGTTTGGTGCCAGTCGGTTCGGATCGTCGAATGGTAACTGCTGAGACATTGCAGGTGGCTATTTATCACAATCGTATTTACTCTGACCTGCTGTCTTGAGGCTCCACTTCTGGCTGAATGGGAACTCGCTACAAGGGCTATATTCTCTAGCGGAGCACCTAGATGCCTGTCGGTTGTGTGCTTTCTCTAACTCGTTGCCTTTGGTGGGCCCGACGTACACGATTCTGTTTGGATTCTGGATACTGGCGGCTGTGGCCTACTGCAGACACAAATCAGTTCGAGTTTAAAGAGAGTGAGCTGGCAAACACTAACTACGCAATTGATGTAGTAACAAGCATTGTTGCAAGCACTCTCTCTACTAACACAGCTTACAGTCTGTTTGCCGTAATCCTTCCTAGCGCGCTTCACGAACATTCTGTCTGCTCTTCCGGGTGCTACTATGTCGGGCATGTTGTTGCCCTGCTCTAAGCCCATCGAAACCTGGAGTAGCAGAGAGATGGCCACGATGTAATGCATGTTGGGCAACGGATCGGACTTGTTTGACGAGTAAGGTATTGGAAGGCTCTAGAGGAAGTCAAAAGCGCAAACTGCGTTCAAGATGCGAGAAAGAAGAAGACTGATAACTGAGAGAGCTATGAAGCTGGAGAAATTTGCTGGTAGTGAAGAAACATCAGTAGGATGTTGCAACCTCTTTTATACCAGTGCGAGACCAGGTCTACCTCAGCGCATTCTACCCTCATGGTCACGGTACTTCGATCCTGGCGGCTGTATCTTGGGGGCTGCATAACATGTTCCCACAAGACACCATACTCTCGTGGTGCTCATTCTCAACATAGTACCCAGGCGTCCATCAGCGTAGACTTGAAAGTCAAAGTCTGACAGGTCAAACAGCCCCGGCATGTCTTGAGTGGGAAGAACGCCTGACCACTTCGAGCAACACGGCCACATGTGTAGGTAATCATCATGTCTGGAAAGGTGGGTCGTCGGGGGGCCAGGAGCCGGGCGATGGTAGGCATAAGCAGCGTGTACGAGTGATCGTGGTCTGTCTACGTTGCCGCCAACAATGTGCGACAAGGCTGAGTACATGTAACTCGAAAAAGATCGCGATACCTACACAACCATGCTCTTGATGCAGCCATGATTCGCTGCGTTGGACGTTCTGGAGTTTCGAGATCCACGTCTGAGCTTACGGTGCAGCTGCAGGTCAAGAATAAGGTGCGGCGCAGCTGCGCAGCGGGGGGCCTCGCCTAGGCATCCGCTCCGCCTCACTGCATGCACCTGCGAACGCATGTGACGTCAGTGAATAGTAAGACCATTAAGGCCGCGACTTCGTCGCAACAATAACTCTGCAGACTTTGTAGCTTTCTGACTTTCAAATAATAACCACAACCTTGCACAAGCAATATGTCAGACCCTCCCTACGCGCTCTTCGTCCTCGACAAGAGCATCACCAACGAGGTCAGCACCGCTGCATCTATTGACCATGTGCACGATAGTAACAATCACAGTATCTCAACTCCGTCCTCGAGCGCGCCCACCATGGCGACGGTGGTGTGGACTGGAACTTCTGGGTCGCGACCGGTTCTTATGACGACCTACCCGCATGCCCCGAAGTCCACAAGCCCTCTCCAGACACCGGCACCCAGCCCCCCGTCGCATCCTCCTTCATCTCGCCTTGGCTCGGTAAGACGCCCGAAGACTGTGCGAAGTGGCTGCAGGCGATGCCGCGCACCGAAGACACGGATGAGAAGAAGTTCAGGGTTGACACGCCTGTGAGCGACCTGTACTTTGTTTTCCTCAACGAATTCTCCAAGGACGAAGATCTCGTCTTCGTCGCGCGCATTGTCGAGGAAGATGGAAAAGAGATGAGAGTTGAGTATTTTCCGCAGTCGACGGACAAAGTACAGAAACAGATGTGGACGATTTTGCAGTTCGACGAGAGAGCGATCAACTACCAGCGCAGGCAGTTCAGCAACAAGGAGCCGGATCGAAGTCAGTACAAAGAGCCGAAGGACTAGAGGTGCATAGTAGTAAACTCTCGCGCGGATGAAAGAGGCTGTCATTGCATACATGAGAACTGATGGCGGCGGTAGATGATTTCATATCTCTTCTTCTCTCTATGAGTCGCTCTCCATATCTATTCTCAATTCCATCGTTCCACAAGGAAGCTCAAGTTGTCCATTGCGCAAGCTCCTGCCGACCGCAGTCGCGCCAGCTGGCAACTGTAGTGTAGCTGCCGTACCAGTCGGTATAACAACCGTGAAAGCAACGCTCGTGCCGCTCAACGTCCACGCCACCTTGATTGGTCCGTTAGGCGTTGGTACCGTCCCGGTGACTTCAGACTGGTTCAAGAACCCTATCATGGGAGTGATAAGAACCGTTTCGTACCCGGGAGAGGTTGAAGCGACGCCAAGAAGGTACTCTGGCAGTACATACGTCGGAGCTGCACCCCACGGATGCGCTAAGCTAGTGAAGAGATCGATGCCAGGAGAACCATCGGGCTTTACGTATTCCCAGCTCGCGCCAGAGTAATACTCGTTCTTGTTGACCATGCTACCCCACAGGTTGTCGAGCAGATGCTTGATGGCAGGTGTGCTGTCCACTCCGAAGTCGCGCCTTGACTTGAATAGAGCTTCCAACAGAAAGCCTGATGGATTGGGAGCAAGTTGGTAGTCGTCTGTCTCCACGTCACTCGAGATAGTCTTGTAGCCTACTGCGAAACGAAGCTCCCCAAGCTTCGCAATGGAAGATGCTGCTTGGGTGTCATTGGCTGCACCAGATAGGATTGCCCAGGCGATACCGGTCAAGGAGAAGTTGCCTCGATCGGTGGTTGAGAGTGAGTATGTTCCGAGCTGATCATTCCATAGCTCACGATTGAGGGCCTCGCGCAGCTTGCTTGCTGTTTGGGAGTAATGTGTCGAAGACTCTTCGTCGCCTATCGCAAGCGCAAGTGGCGCAATCTCCTCAAGCATGTAAGCGAAGAGACCGGTCGTCGCAGTACCGTTGGCTGGCCCCAGGAAGCTGAATGGCGATGGCACCTCCGGAGAACCTCCAATGAGACCAGATGAAGGATCAACAAAGGCCAATCTCGCGGTCGCAAGTTTCTTGATCTGATCCCAGTGAGGTTTCAGCCCGTCGCGGTCTCCGGTGTAGCGGAAGTATTGGCCGATTCCTGCCAAGAATAGGTCTTGGTAGTCCACCAACCCAGCGTAGTTTGCGATATTTGCTTCCTTGTACTGGGGGCGGGCTCCAAGGTTGGTAGAGATTTGCGTAAAGCCGGCGTACGGGCCATCATCAAGCTGAAAGCTCAGCGCATATATGATGGTGCCCAAGAGGTAGTCAAATCGAGCAGATGAAGCTGCGACAACACGCACAGTGTGGTAGAAGTCTCCTGTCCAGACTAGGCGATCCCGTTTGGCGCCATCAAGGCAGACTGAGTGTTCTAAGGGCGCAACCTGATACTCGGCTAAGGTATCTTCGTTCGTTAGGGGATTGCGATATATGATAGTGCCATTTCCAGCAGTGACAGTCACGTCTTTGTGATAAGCAATCTGGTCCTGCATACCTCCGAAGCCCCATGTACCTTCGTATCGAGAGGGAGTGCCAAAGTTCCCGGGGGGTGCAGGTGGAGGTAGAGGTACGAACGCAATCTCGGTCCCATTTACGCTAACCCGATATCCAGTTTCCTCAATTGATGTGCGCACGCGATACCACGTGTTCTCCTTGATGGTTGTGTTGATAGTAAAGTACTGGGCCTCCGGCACGGGTAGTGTGCTCTGGTTTACTAGACTCCATCCACTAGTGAATGCCAGCGTGTTTGGAGGCAAGAGGGTTCGGTTGGTGTTTGCGAACGTATTTCTCTCGGGGTATTCGGACGTAAGCACAAAGTAGGGCCCAATTGGCGGCATTGCACTTGCTACTCTCCAGCCAGCGCCGCCTCGGGCGATCTTGACGTCAAATTCTAGCGTGTAATTGACTGCTTCAACTCCTAGAGAAGATTGCGCACTGGTTTGGCCCCGTATATATGCTCCGTCTTTTGTGATTTCCCACGTGGACGGCGCATTACCGGCATCTACGCATGCTACTTGAGCGACGCAACCTCCGAGGTCCAGGACGCGATTCAAACTCTTATCGGATGTCTGTAAGTGGCCTGGTAGCATTTCCGCATCCAAGTTAGAGCTTGTTGCGCGAAGTCCTAGATGATCAATAGTGACGGAGCCATTCGTGATCAACCGTGCAGTCTGCCATCGTTGGCCTCCTTGGACGAAGAAGCTCTCGATGTATCCCGTTTCCGTGACGTTGAAAGTTTCCACTCGAAAGGAGTTGGATAGTCCATTCGAAAATGTCCAAGGCCCGTCCGAGAAGGGCTCTTCCACGCCACGGTATTCTTCGCTGTACTTTACTTCGATCTGCACCGTTCCAGAAATTGCTGAAACGTGGAAGAACGGGAAGCCGGCTACCTCAGTGCCGTAGTCGAGTGTAACGAGTGGGCTATCTGGCGATAGGATCAGGGTTTCATTCGTCCACGGCTTCAAGCCCGATGATGAGGGCGCAGATTGCTGTAGGTGTGATTGAGGTGCAATTGAGCCATAATCGACAAAGCTATTGTTGTGAGTGGACGGTCTTTTGTATGTATTTCTAGAGGCTTACGCAGTCGTCAACGGGTTGACAAGAATTGTGATGATCGCAAGACGCTGAAGAAGATTCATCGCTGCTTTCGTGCGAGGTGATCTAGACAGGGCTTTCGTTGGCAATGCGGCCTGGCCATGATTATGACCAGCGGTCGTCCGTACAACAGCAACTAATGGTCGGAAGGTGGTGGAGAAGGAATAACCGATGAAATTGTGACTCTCGGTGCAAATGTGACCGACGCGATGTAGTTTCGGCAGATATTTGCTCACCATTGGCCAGTTCAGTCGGAGCGTTCTTGAAACTAAGGGTTCTCTGGGCAGCCGGGTACCCCGCACGGGGACATCCCCACAAACCACCGTATCTCGTATCTCGTTTTGTGCAGTTATCGTACGGGGAACCTTTTCTAGTTTCCGTCGTAGGGTACAGCCTGGATGATGCTCGGTCGGGCTCGGTCGGGTTCGGAGCAATGCTTGTGGCCGCATTGACGTTGCTTTTATCGTGCTACGATTTTGCACTCTTCTCGAATCGTGTGAAATCTTCTCTCAACATATTTCGCTGCATTGTAGGTGCCCTCGCAGACTGCGCGAGGGCATTCTGAACGTGCAAGCCACTCATACTGATCTGCAACGTCCCGGGCAAAAGCTCTTTGGTGATTCCATCTCCTGTGGTGACTGTCATCTTCTTCGTACAGGTGATACTCAAGTCGGCCTTCGTCGTGGTCGCCCACGGCGTGCTGTAATACAACCACTTCTTCCCGCCGCATGGCATCCAGTACCGCCAGCTAAAGTTGTGACCCTCGTTCGTCCGCTGTGCCTTTGGGTCGGAAGTTGGAAGGCAGCGTCATCTCAGGGTCCGGGATCTGTTCGTCGGCGATGCGACCGGAGAGCACGCGGCACGACGGTATGAGTTGTATCACGCCGGAGATACGAACTGCCAAAATACACGAATTGTAAAGGGCCATCCCGGAGAGAAGCGAGCCCATGAGCCATGCGACACTTGAGAGTAACGTGTCGCCAACGACGGCGACGGCGATGACGTCCAGCTCCGTTCCTGAATCTGCGCGCGTTGAGAGCTCGAGATAGTCAGTGCACTCCAAATTGACGTCTCTAAAGAGCCTCCTGATGGTCATGGAATCTTGCGCATCGTTCGCATAGCTAAGCACGCCGCGGGAGTGATTCAGAATCTGATGCTTCGATACACCAACCGCTAGTCCCAGTAGCCTATCCTCTTCGCGACAGCGCCAGGCGCAATAAGAGAGGTTCTCGTACATTGTGCAGTCTAGTGAGCTTGGGCGCGTTCCTGTGAACGCGTATCACCTCAACCGCGTTCCATTTTATCGCGTCAATCCCGGTGGCACGGCAGCGGCGACATCGGCCAGCTTGGGTTCACCGTTGTTGTGATCGGGACAACGCGCAAAGACGCGTTGCAGCAGTGATCGGACTGGGCAATGTTGGTAGGAGCGCAATCTAATCGCGATGGTAGCATCGGTTGTCACATTGGGGCGTTGTTCGAGTCTTTGGGAACGATTGCGACGGTCCGTTGTGGCGCGGCGTTGTCAGCACGTGCCTTCCCAAGCACCAAGCCAATCATCTTCTTTCACCATGTCACGGCGGCGGCGGAGGGAACCGCTGCATGCAACTTCACACGAACGTCGGTTATCATCTAACCACCACACACATCAGAGGTCACGGCACATGAAGTTAATTGATCAACTCTGTATTGCATTACTACTAGAACATGCCGACTAGAACATGTGAGGTCTTCCACCTAACTTTACAGGTCATGTATGATTAGATGTACAGGATTGCCGCCAACAGAATGCAGGAAATCAACAGACCAAATCGCCCTGCGTAGGACTGTACCGCTGACCCTACGAAAACCTGACGACGCTGCTGAGCCTGGTGCTGAGTCGGTACACTCTGAGGATTGCGGAAGACATTATCAGGATCGACCGCCGCCTTGATCTGCTGCAAGCGAGGCACATTGCCGCCCCAGTAGGCCTGCTGAGGGTCCGCAAGCTCAGGATCGACGTAGCCTGGGTACGCGCCTTGATCGCACGTCTCCTTCTGCACTAAGCTGCTAAGGCCAGACAAGAACGTCTTGGACGCGTCAGTGACGGGGCCCCCAAGATTGACGACATAACTCTGCATGAAGTAGGCGGCGTCACGGTGCCAGTATGCGGTAGCGGTCTGCGGCACATCGGCGATGGCACCGCCTTCGAGATCCCAGATGACGAGCCACACAGGCGCTCCCTTCTCGGTGCCATTGATGTAGGAGAACATGGATTTGATGGCTTCGTCCGACAGCAGTTTGTGACTTGGCGTCTTGACACTCTTGGCATAGAACGGGATGGGGAAGCTGCCGCTGGCTGTCAGGTCTGGGTCGCCGAGTCCGGGGAACGGAAGTTCGCCAACGGTGATGTCCACAACGACGGTTGAGGTATTAGCAGGAAGGATAGACTGCGCGTTCAGCTTATCGAAGTCGGACTTCGGCCCGTAGAAGTTGCCGTTGATGACCATCGAGCCCTGGCTGAGAGTCATAGTGCTGGAGAACCGGCGGTCGAGATTCTTCTGCGTGCCAAACTTTTGCCATTTTTGGAATGTGCTTGCGAAGGCATTTGCGTCGTCGGCCGCGATTGTGTAAGCGTACTTGGTGATCTCGGTCGGCGCGGGTGCAGTCTTCATGGTGAACTCTGTAACGATAGCGAAAGAGAAACCGGCGCCTCGGATGGCGAAGAACAGGTCGGGGTTAGTGGTTGCACTGGCTGTGACTGCGGTGCCGTTTGCAAGCACACATTGCGCTGACACAATTTGATCAGCTCCCACGCCCAGCTGGCGACTAAGCGTTCCGAGACCTCCAATGGTCAAGTGACCACCCGTGCCGATGACGGCTACTTCGCCGTATGCCATGACCCGCTTGAGAGGTAGAAGCTTCTCAGAGATGTTGCCGAGGAGGTTTCCCTGCGAAAGGTGCGCACGTCAGCGCATGTACAATAAAGGGCGTTCATTACAGGTGTGTATCAGGAAGTCACTTACTGGACCAAAAGTCACCGTGTGGTCACCCTCGTTGTACAAGAAAGATGCCATATTCTTCATGTCCACCACCAATGAGCCATTGAACCCTCCCAGTGCTATATACGACGTTCGTGTTAGCAATTTCTTAATCACAAGTCGTCCTTCTGGGTTCAGGCTTACCATAGTTCGCATAGCTATGACCGCCGCTGCGCGCCTGTACTGCAACTCCTGCGGCGTTCGCACACTTCACGACTTCAGATACTTGCTCTTGCGTCTTTGGGAATGAAATCGCGGCCGGAACGACGTTGTAGTTGAGATTGTAGGGGTGTACATCTCCCTGCAAGAACATTGGGTCGTTCGGCAGCATCCAAGTGCTGGTATCGTTGCTGAGGGCCGTTTGGAGGCATTGCACGAATGGGGCGTTCTGGGCTGTAGCAGCAGTCGCGGCCGTCAATACGGTCGCTACCAATAGGTTTTTCATCGTTGGAAACCGATGGTGAGGCTGAGGTATGGTAAGGACTGTTGGTGGGCGAGTATGGCGAAATAGAGAGATGACAAATTCTTGAAGCGAGCGGATGAAGAAGAACTTAAGGAAAAGAGCCCTTAGAAAGGCAGTTCTATCATCTTATGTCGAGAGATTTAGTCTGCTTGGTTTGTCGCCCAAGCCTCAAGCCTTAATCCAGGATGTCCAGGTAATCTTACATACCGCCGTCTCCGATGTCAGCCCTCCATCGTTCAACAACAGCTCCTCCAGTAACCTTCGCACAGCACCGAAAGTAGACTGTGCCTGCAACGCAAACTGCGCTTTGGTACTGGTTCGTACTGGTCCTTGAAGCTGTTATCTGACAGGCGCAGATTCTCGCACATCTCGAGGCTGCAGCGTCTTCGCACCCGTGGACGTCATCAGCCTTGTGCGCGCCACCACGATGATGCGCAACCAAGAAACTCACTTTCCGAAAGAACGACCGGTAAGCACCATGCTGACAGAACGAGGCTCAAGGCGGGCAAAGTAGTGGTTTTACTTCGGTGTTTGGGTTCGAGGCGCACTCTATTTATCAGGGGAACGCGTCCTCGGCCAATCACGGGGCGTCGCTGGAAAGATCCCCCGCGTTCCACATCCACGCATTGACTGAACGCTGGCTCTTCCCTACCGGCACCATCCGGGCATTGAATTGCTTACTACGCTAGGTATGCCACGACTGTTTGGCAATATAGCATGTTCCTGCTCACCCGACACGGGCGTCGCGTCCAGACGCTCAGCACTGTGCGGTCGCGTCAGCGCAATGCGCGTCGCGCTTGCAAATAGTGCCGTCTGTATCGTGGCAGTGCTCAGCCTTACACCAGCATCTCTCGCGCCGCATATCTGATCATCATACGCATCAGCCCGGTGTAGTGCTCGCAGACGGCGAGCTAGTTTCTTTCATAGCTCTAGAACATGGGTCGTTGAAGGTCGAATTGGTTGGGACCGCGATGGACGTACACAGCATCGAGAGGCGGACCAGTAATGCCAACAATACGCCGCCACTAATTGTCGCAACAGAACCCGCATATCAATTTCGAAAGTCGCAGTCGCAAGGCATTCAAATTAGGCTTGAGATGCGTTCACAAGGTCGGTACCTAGGTACACACAAGCCGGCCGTACCCGCACCGGTCAGCTACTTCTGCATCTATGCTGCAAATCTACGAACCGACAATGCCAATCCGTAGAATCTAGGGCCATGCAGCACTCAATTGAAGAGGCACGGCGATACTAAAGTACGAAACGACTCCTCGAAAAGCGTCGACCCGAGTCGCGTGGATGGGGAATATCTTCTTACGTGTTCGCGCCCGGACGCCCTCGACGGCCAACAACAAAGCAAACGACGCGCTCCCGGTGCAAGTCCACGGCCCGACACAGACGTCTTGAATCGGGCGAAATTGAGCCGACATAGCATAGCACCCTCTGGTCGACCGTCGACAGGACGCTTCCGGTAGATGCCGTTGATGTAAGCATGCCAACGTCGGACGTCCTCGTCGGCGGTTGACAGACACGCAGCTAGCGAACCAAATATCGTTTCCTACAA